CCTGACAACGCCTTGGCTTGATGATCTTCATGTTGTTGTCGCTGTTGCTATCATCTTCGTCTGAGCCTTCAGAAGCATCGCTAGAGCGAGCAATCTTTTGGGACTTGACCCACTGGGGTTTCTGGCTCGATCTCAGCCAAAACTGGCAGTATTTAGAAGCTCTATGTGCGCACCTCAGAACTCAAGTCAATATCTTCTTCAAAATCGTCTTCTTCATTGCTCTCAGATCCTGAGTCAGCAAACTCCAAGCCACTCTCTTCTGACTCCTCATGAGCAAATGGAGCATCTCTGTCATGAGAGCATAAGTTGAATCAGGACTGCAAATGGGTCGGCAAGACTTACAAATCTTGCTCGCTGCCCTGAGATGTCCGTGTCGTGTTGTTCTTCGCTGTGGCAGCCGCTTCCGCATTTCTGGACTGAAGTTGCCCTCTGATCTTCCAAAGTTCGGGCACAACAACCTTTTTAGGTGATAGCAAGGTTAGCTCTCCCTCTTGTCTGCCTTCGTTGTTGTCGTAGGTGTTGCAAGAGACCGTGGGTCGCTTGCTGCTCGCTTTCAGACGGATTGGGCATGTCTGGACCCACAGCTAAATACACAAACCTGAAGTTTGTTTGGTTGCCTTTTGATGCTTCTTGCCTGCGCGATGGTTTACAGTGTCTTCTACCATGACCGTCAGCACTGACAGCCTGCAAGACTATGCTGAGGTGTGTACCTTGCTCAGTATGCTGTCGCTTACTTAGTTTTTGAACGGTCTTCTCATTCTCGGCAGCTTCAAGCTGATATTGCTCTTCAAGAGCCTTCTTTTCGGCTTCTGTACCATTCATACACTGAGGGGGGATTAGTGCTGTTGCAAGGTGGACTTCCCCACAGCAACGGTGAGTAACATACACTTGTGCTTTTTAGCGTTCTCTTTTGGCCGTCGAGGAAGTTCTGATAGTTGGTCAAAATAGTGTGCGAAGCTTGAACGGACGAGAAGATAATACCTGCTATGATCTCAGCTTCTTCTTGTGCGAGACGTTCCTCCTCAGCACGTTTAGCGGCGCAAGTAGACCCAGACAAGCTTGAGGTTCACTTCTCTTTCTGTGTGCTGGTACCCTTCTCACCTCCGTCTGCTTTAGACCTTGGTGCAGGCGCCCTTGGCATTTTGACAGGGCTGGAATATCTTCTGTCGAAGTGGAGAGATGCAAAGAACTTGCAAGAGGGCGAGCACAGAATCCAATCGATCTGCTGAGGTAATACTGAGTCAACATCCGTCTGAATTTGGACTTTGCGAACTGACCACTCACTCTCAGGCTCTCGAGCCAGGCAATCATAATGGCACGCTGCCGTAACTGTGGCCGTGAATTTCCTACCAGAACTGGGCTCTCCCTCCATACTATCAATGTACAGGATCCAAAATGCAGGCAACCGCCTCTGCACTGCCAAAATCTTGACGCGCCTTGGAATCTTGACCCAGACCTGACATCCCGATCAGTTACCGGTGATGACAGCAAGGGCAAAGGTGATGAAGACGAATACAGCGAGGGTAAAGATGTTGAAGACAATAGTCGCAGCTCACCACAGTACTTCCAAGGCGACTACTTCGGAAATGATTATTCTGCCGCAGAATTGCTTGGCTGGGGCAAGGGTGCTGCCGCTAACGGTGGCGGTGCTCCTGGAGACCATGAAGCAGCTGATGATAGCACAGCCAAGAATGGCACATCAGAAGATCTACCTGGAGATGATGCAGACCTGCTAGAAGAAGTAGGTGAAGTGAACAAATCCCAATGGGAGGCCCACCGCCCATGCACTGCATTCGAGCCTGAATTGGAGGGCACAGAAGACGCAGCTAAGACAGCTCTTCCTGCTGTGGACAGGACGCGACGGAGACGCATGGAATCAGCTCTGCGAGGCAAGATCTACATGACGCCGTTTTTGTCTTTAGTAGCTGGTAGTCCAATCGACTCTACAATAGACAGCTCCTCAGGCTATTGTCAGTACGAGGCAATGCTTTCAGGGAACATTGCAGCCAACAGCGTCAGCTATGCACCTTTCAAGAGTCAGGTCAACTGGGAAGTTGCGCGTTGGGCGAAGCTGCGTGGTTCAGGATGAAACGCGATGTCTGAGCTTTTAAAAATCAACGGCGTACGTGCTACCCTGCTTGCAGCTAATGCAAAATGCTGACATGCCGTCAATTGTGTAGCTACAGGAGAAGCTTGGGTTGTCATACAAGAACGTTCCAGAGATTGACAAGCTCGTGGACTTGTTACCTTCCCCTCGTCCACGCTTCACCCGTGAAGAGATTATCATTGCCAGAGAGAGCTACGATGTATACTTCCGTGATGTCCTAGAGTGTATTCGTGCACTCTACGGCGAGCCAGAGTTTGCTCGCCATCTTATCTTCTTACCTGAGCAGCACTATGTGGACTCTGATCAGACCATGTGTCTCTTCTATGACATGCATACTGGTAAATGGTGGTGGGCAGTGCAAGTGAGCTATTTTGATATTATATTCTAGGCACGTACTCACTGTAGATAAATTTGTAGAAAGCGGTGGAGAAGGAGACGCTTGGGGCTACCATCATTCCTATTGTTATATCCTCCAACAAAACGCAAGTCACCTTGTTCCGTAACAAGGCAGCGTATTCGGTGTATCTTACGATAGGAAACTTGCCTAAAGACATTTGTAGCAAGCCATCCC